AAAGAGACCCATACTTCTGTCTTCCCCCACCTGTTTTTGCTTCATTGAATGTTTCTTTTGGTTCATTTCCTAGCCTGTGGTGTCTGATCCCCTTGGACTGTGTGGTATGTGCAGGTTAGAACCCCGCATGAGAAGCTACCTCTTACACAAAGGTGCTTAGCACAGTGCCTAACACAGAGTAGGTGCTTAATAGATGTGTGTTGAGGAACTAACAACCTTACTCAAATGACCCTCCATTGACAGGGGTGCCGTTTTTCCTGAGGAAAAGACACCATATTGAATCATTTCAGATTCTGCCCCACATCCACCGTAGTTCCTAGGGTCCGCAGTGAAAGCAGGCCTGTGTTTGTGACTCCCACCCAGATAGGTCAGGAAAGGGGAGGCCCCAGCCCTGGAGGAGGTGATGTCAGTTAGCATAGGATTAACAGGCATGATGACACGGCCATGCCTTGAAGCCAAAGCACAACAAAGAGGCTGCATGTTTGCTGTCTCCTTTCTGTGGCTCTGAGTATGACAAGCAAAAAGCAAATCCTTGGTGTTTGCTTGTATGAATGGTACTGGCTGCAGAGAGAAGTACTCCTTTCTCAGGGTTAGCTGGCTCAGATTTGGGGGTTTGGTGTGGAAATCAAGCCTTGAAATCCTTATTCCTTCTCCTATTTAACTGTCTGTTTCCACGCACTTTGGTACTTAAGTATTAACGGGTAGAAGAGTGGGAGTGGAAAGAACACAGGACCAGGATGGAGAGGTCTAGGGGATAGTCCCAGGTCTACCAATGACCATGTGACCTCAAGGCAGTGGGCCTGGGTTCAAATCCCATCTTGTCACTGATCATCTGTGTGACCGTGGGCTGACTTAACGTTTCTCAGCATCCATTTCCTCATCTGCAAAATGATGGGGTTGAAGTAGATGAGCTCAAACCACCCTTCAAGCTCAAATTCTATGATCTGATGAGCCCCTCACTTTGGAGATGTAAACTTCTTAAGGACAGGGACCACTTCTGTGAAAGCAGCGTAATAGTACAGGGCTATTTAGGAGGAGATGCTTAATACATACAAACAGATTATTTGTCTGGCTCTCCCCACTCTGCTGTTGTTTTTGGTGGTGGTGTTGTAGGGCAGCTAGGTGGCACAGTAGATAGAGCGCCAGGCCTGGAGTCAGGAAGACTCACCTTCATGAGTTCAAATCTGTCCTCAGACACTTCCTCGCTGTGTGACCGTGGACAAGTCACTTACCCCGTTTCCCTCAATTTCCTCATCTGTAAAATTATCTGGAGAAGGAAATGTCAGACCACTCCAGTGTCTCTGCCATGAAAATCCCCAGATGAGATCACAAAAATCAGTCATGACTGAAAATGACTGAACGACAACACACACGAGCAGCCCCAAGGTTTTGTGTGCCTAAACCTCGATTTGATCTAATATATACTTATTAAGCACCTGCTGTATGTAAAGCGTTAGGTTAATCATTGGACATAGAAAAATGACACGGTACCGACCCTCAAAAAAGCTTGTATTCTCCTAGAGACATATATTCATAACACATATTCAGATAAGAACTGTGTTTATTCTCCCTAGCTAGGTTATAAACTGCTTGAAACCAAGGTAGAAGGTGACAGAGTCAAAGTGCTCTGGGGATATTTGAGATTGGAGAAAATACCCTCAGCTAGGAGTAATCATGGATGGCTTCATGGAGGAGGTAGTATTTGAGCTGAACCTCAAAGAAAGAAAAGGACTTTGACAGACTGGATAGAGACTTTATGTGCTATGGCCAAGAGAGCCATCCTTAATGCCTCTTATCAATAGTCACTCTGCCACAGGAAGTCATAGAGTAGATTATCTGATCTAACCCCAGAGAGAAGTGACTGTCGAGGGTCACACAGCTAGTCAGTAGCAGAGACAGGACTGGTGCATAGGCTCCCAGACCAGTGCCCTTCCTCCCATATCATACTGCCTACATCCTGAGAAGTCACTGGGCCGCTTGTCTCAGAGATGGGCAAACTTGTCTTTTCAGTGCCCTCCCAGCTGAAGGAGGTACCCCTGGCTGGAGTAGGAGGTAGCTAGGTGGCTCGGTGGATAGAGTGCTAGGCCTGGGTTCAGGAAGACCTGAGTTCAAGTCTGCCCTCGGGTACTAGCTGTGTGAGTCCTGGGAAAATCCTTCAACCCTTAATTCACTGGAGAAGGAAATGGCAAACCACTCCAGTATCTTTGCCAAGAAAACCCCAAGCAGCATAATCAGGAGGAATCAGACATGATTGAATGATTGAACAGTGGCAGCATTGGCCGGGCAGGCCCTACCAAATCCCTGCTGCAAAGGCGCAGCACCATCCTTAGAGAACTGCAAAGTCATCTCCCCCTTTTCACACCTTCTGCAGGTGTTGCCTGTTTACTGCCCTTGCTGTCTAGCCCCGCATAACCCTGTTACCCCCAAGGTGAGGTCTCTCTGCCCACTCTGGGTAGGCCCGGCTTTCATCTTCACCTCATCCATCTAGTCAATCTGAGGCCACAGATACAACAAAGGACACTTTCTGATGCCTCTCAGTAAGGCACAAAGGCAGTGTTAATAGACCGTGGCATTCTCATTTGTAGACTCTATTCATCCGACAGCCAAGAATTATCAGTACTAATGTTCCTCCAACTTGCCCTCCCTTTTTTTACCTTTTTTCTCCCCCTTTCTTTTGCCTCGAGAGTGATTTGTCTGTGTTATGGGTAGGCCTGACAAACCATTACGCATTAGCGACTGAGATGTTGTTTGAAATGGGAAAATTGCTGGCAAACTGCTCCATTAGCAGGCCGAGTAACAAATACTTTCTTCCCCCAATGAAGACGAGATAGCTGAGGCACAAATTAATACAACTGTCTCCCCCACTCCGCCGTGGGGATTACTCTTTGAGACAAATGGTCTCATCACTGCCAGGGATGGGAGATGGTTATACACAGACTGGGAAGTGCGATCCTCCTCTGCTCCCCTCCTCAGCAGCTTGTGTTTCCTCCCTCCTCCACCCCCATCCTGAGAGTTTAGGGAACACAAGCTCCAAATGAGGAGGTGATGAAAAGATCTGCACCTTGGTGAGATGCAAGACTGATTAGGATGGGATCCTCAGTGCTTAGTCTGGGCCAAACCATCATCCATCAACCCTAATGGAAGCAGCCCTTCCCTAGATCTCCTAGCTGCCTTCCCGCTGTGCCAGGCCTTGAAGACATGACAGGGTGGAGAAAATGGGAAAATTTGATTTTCTTTCCACAGCTCCTTCCCGTCCGAGAAAGCTACAACTCTTGGATCTCCAGGGTTTCTGGCACTTCCTAGAGTGAGCTGGTTCAGCGATGGTAAAGGAAAGGTGACTTTGACCTCCACCGTGGATGCTTGTTCTAGTGCTAATCTATCCACCCCTCTCAGAGCTACCAGAGGCCAAAGCGGCAAGCTCTAGGAGTCCTGGGCACGAAGGGATCTAACCCTGAAAATCAGCCCGGGAGATTGGAAAACGAATCAGGAAATGGGGCAGAAAGCTTAGACATTTAGGTTGTGTCTTGACAAAGGCCGAGACAAAAGAGTGAACAAAATCAGTCAACCAGTGAGTGGCTTTGCCTACATCATGCTCATCAGTTTTGCTGATGTTTTCTTAGCAGAGTAGCAAGGTGGTTTATTGGTGAGTAGTCATGTCCTAAGTCTCTGCTTTTTATTCCTTTTCTTGGTGTCTTGGGCTTCTCAGGAAATCTGCATTGGTACAAGATAGATGTTGCAGTTATTTGCTAGAATTAAACCCCAGGGCCTCCTGGGAGAGAGAAGGCCTGGTCCCAAAGATGTCCTTTCTTAGGCCAGGACTCAGAGGGTCATGGAAGACCAGAGCTTCTGGACCATTCCTCTGCGAATTGGGACAGATATTCTCCTGACAATGCACAGCCCCTCAGAGAGGCAGCTGAGTCAATTAAGTGGCCCTGGGCAGTTCAGCTCATACATTGTGCAGCATCAATTCATTCAGTCAGTGTCTAGAGGAATGACTCAATTAATTGTTGGGATATTCAAGGAGCTTGTTGAAAGAAACTTCTTTACTGTGAGGTGGTGTCATTGCTGAATAAGAAACAAAGTCAGCTTCCTAAAGAAAGATATTTCCTCCTTTCAGTTTATTTTTTCAAACAAAAACTCACCTTAGATAGCTTTTTTTTTTTTGGTGAGGCAATCAGGGTTAAGTGACTTGCCCAGAGTCACACAGCTAGTGTTATGTGTCTGAGGCTGATTTGAACTCAGGTCCTCCAGACTCCAGGGCCAGTGCTCTATCCACTGTGCCACCTAGCTGCCCCAACTTCATTTTTTTTAACAGCAGCTCAGCATACTGACTAGAGACCTGGCAATTGAGGCAGGAAGACCTGAGTTCAAATTCTGCCTTTGACATATATACTGGCTGTGTGAACTTGGTAAGTTGTTTAAATTGTCAGTGCCTCGGGGAAATTCTTTAAGACTATAAATTAATGAAAGGTGGTGGAATGGTATGGAGCTGTATCAGTGTAAAAAGTTTCCTATGACAATGAAATCATGAATCCATACAAAAAAAAAAGATTCTGTATATATGAGTGTGTGTGTTGTGTGTGTGAGAGAGAGAGAGAGACAGTGTTTTCCTACCCAGAATACTCTCTCTTTCCCTACCAACTATTATGTTACACATCCTTCGAGGCCCATCTGTTATCCTACCTTTTTTCTGATGAAACCTTCCCCCACCTCATCTCTCTAGTCATTACTGACAGAACCGTATGATTGCAGTGTGTGTCACACAATTCTTGCATGTGCCACACAACTCAGCACTGACTTCCATACTGTCTTATTTTGTTCTGCAATTGTCTCACACGTGTTAATCTCCTCTGCTCAGCTGGATTGTAAACTCCGTGAGATCAAGGATTCCATCTGTATCCCCTAAGCCATGTGCTTGTAGTAGGTGTTCAAGACACTCAATATACTTGTTTGTGGATTAATTGATTGACTGACTGACTTGCTTTGGTCTCATTTTTCAGACGCCTGGAACAGAACTCTATCAGAGCCGTCCCTGCAGGAGCCTTCACCCAATATAAGAAGCTAAAAAGGATGTAAGTTTCTGTGCCTGGACTTCCAAGAGGGAAATGAAATGAGTACTGATCCGTTGTCTACTTCTGTCTTTTGCCTTGGGAGGTAGCAAATTTGGTGATGATGCAACATATTTCAGAGACTGGACTCTGCCTGGGTAGGAGGGCTAAGCATAGCCCTCTGTTAGCTCGGATTCAGGCCTGGTCACCCTGGTGCTGAAAGAAGCTTAGGGAATGTTTTGTGCTAAAGGGAGAAGTGCTGGCTGTGAAAGACTTTGGGCTGGACATATTGAGTATGGAACCTGAAAATTTGTCCTATTAGACTTAGATTATTTGGAAAACAAGAAGTATGTGTCAGGGAAAAGAGAAGGGGGCATTGTAGCCTGCATTATCCAAATGTTTACATATCCTAGCCACTTGGATTTTATTACGCAGACCCAGAGTAAGAACTTTAGAGATGCCGATACCTCCATCACAGATACCACTATAAAACTGCCATCACCACTTTCCTTAGAGAGACAGTATGGCGTGGTGGACCATGGCATGAGCAGGAGAAGCCTAGGTTTGAATTCCTACCTCTGACACTTATTAGCTGTGTGACCAGAGGCAAGCCTCAGCATCCTTAAGCCTCAGTTTCTTTATCTGTAGAAGAAGAAGAATAGTGTCTGAAGTACCGACCTCATGAAGTTATTACAAGTATCATACATAGTGAGATGATATAATGTGTATACAAAGTACTTTGCACAGAATGAGGTAACACACACATATACACACATACGTGTGTGTGTGTGTGTGTGCGTGTGTGTGCGCGCGCGCGCGTAAGGAGAGAGAGAGAGAGTCACAACTAGATGGCACAGTGAATAGAGTGCCAGGCCTGGAGTCAGGAAGACTCCTCTTTGTAAGTTCAAATCTAGCCTCAGACACTAGCTGTGTGACCCTCTTTGACTCAGTTTCCTCATCTGTAAAATGAGCTGGAGAGGAAAATGAAAAATTACTCCAGTATCTTTGCCAAGAAAACCCCAAATGGGGTCATGAAGAGTTGGACACAATTAAAACCACTCAGCAAGTGTGTGTGTGTATGTATACGTGTGTGTATCTGTATGTGTGTGTGTGTGTGTGTGTGTGTATATATATATATACATATACACATATATATATCAACATATATACACACACACATACACACACTCAGAATCTTTTAAACCCTTAAAGTGCTATAGAATTGTCAATTATTATCATTATTGTTATAATTGTCATGATTCAATTTTATCACTACTCTGGGTATCACTAACATAGTATCTAGTCACATAAAATTCTCTGAGCCTCAGTTTGCTCATCCATCAAATGGAATGAATAATTCCTGTAACAATTATCTCATGGGGCTGGGTCTCATGGGGATCTCATGAGATAATGTGTAAATAACTTTGCCAACCTTAAACTGCTATCTAAATGTCAGCTATCCATCTATTCGTCATTTCCAATATTGCCATCATCTCTCCTAGTGGTATTAATTATACTTCCACTGCTCCTGTCACTACCACCTCAAACGTAATATCGAACAATAAGGTTGAGGTCCTGGCTTGCTATTAGGGACCTTATTGGTCGGAATAGTAAAGTCCTACACTGGTGATGGAGCATAACCTTGCATCTTTTTTTTTTTTAGGCAATTGGGATTAAGTGACTTGCCCAGGGTCACACAGCTAGTAAGTGTCAAGTGTTTGGTCTGAGGCTGTGTTTGAACCAGTGCTCTATCCACTGCCCCCATAACCTTGCATCTTAGGGCCCTGATGACCATGTAGGCGCAGCCCACTGACCACTTGAGAACTCAGAAAGAAAATGGAAAATCCTGTTGGCTTCAGACTAAGAGGGAGGCAAGATAGATGGTCAGCCAACATGTATTTAAAGCTCCTTTGTGTGCAGAAGGGCTTAATGAACACTCCCAGGCAATGCGTTTACATGTAATTTAGTTTGCTAAAGAGTCCCTCATTTCTTTGCCCTTAAGAAGAAGGTCATTTTTTGAAGCTCATCAAGACGGTGTTCTCATTGGTTTCACTCCTTTTGTTTCCTCACTCCCCTCCCCCAGGGGCAGAGAACAAGCAGCTAGAAATGCCTGTGAACTAAATCGTGGTTTGTCCTTATGCTGAAGAAAGAGCTGTTTGTGTCTTCTGAATAGGAAGGACTGATCACTAAAGAGGTTAAGTGTCTGCCATCTCATTTCTCTTGTAATTAAACACAACTTGTGGAATAGCATTAAGTTTTGCCCTCAGATAGTAGTGCTTTTACATAGCGCTTACTATGTGCCAGGCATTATGATAAGCACTTTACAAATATTATCTCAATGGATCCTCACAACAACCCTGGGAGGTAGGTTAGCACCTACCCTGTTTTATTATCTGTATTATCCCTGTTTTGGAGTTGAGGAAACTGAGGCAAACAAAGGGTCATGCAGCTCGTAAGTGTCTCAGGCTAGATTTGAACTCAGGTTGTCCTAACTCCTGAGTTCATGCTGAGTGTAGTTTCTCTCACCCTTATTTCCCCCAAAATCCTAGGTGGGGATTGTTGCACTTGCCTGATGAGAGCTCCTCCAAATGCTGTCTGGAAAAACATGAGCTTCACCTAAACCATGACTGGGGCACACTAACTTGTCCTTGAGAAGAATTCCCTTTAACAAATACAATCTTGCCTTCCTACTCCCAGTAGCAAATCTAGCACCAGGTAAGATTTCTCTAAGGAAAGGCGCAGGAAATAGAAGCCCAAGCCATTGGAAGAGTAGAAGACAGTGTTGTTTCCTGTTTGACACTGGAGAAAGTCTAATAAGTCTGTCCACATGACCAGAGCATCCTCAGTATGGAAGAATATGGAAGAACCTAGGGAACTCTTGTGTGCACATTAGTATTCTTATCTGTACATTCAATAGAATGTAAACTTCTTGAGGTCATGGTTTGTTTTGTTCATATCTTTGTACCCCCAGCTCTCAACATGGTACCTGGCACATCGTCAGCACTCTAAATGCTGGTCAGATTGAGAATGCAATAGAAGTTAGGGAATTAGACTAAATTACCTCTAAGGTCCTTTCTAGCTCTAAAATTTTGTGATTCAATAACCCTGAAACTCTTTCTTTTCTAAGTCTTATTTCCTATCACACTTCAAATCATGTATCCACACCACTTCCTACTGTCTAGAGGAGCTTACTGAATGTTCATGTCTTATGTGAACTCCCCTCATAAGACTGAAACAAGTTTCCATATTAGTTATGGAGAGTGAACTTGCATCCTAGGGATCTGGTGACCATGTAAGGTCAGCCCATCCTCACTAAAGACCTGAGAAAGACAACAGGGAATCTGTTGCATTTTGGCAGTTCAATGGGAACACGGCCACTGTGAACGAAAGTGACTTTCGTCCATAATGACTTGCTAGCCCACCGCACCAGAGGCTAATGCTTCAGGAAGGAAGGGCTAGGATACTCCTGGTGCATACACTTCCTAAGACCCTTCTATGAAAAGAGGAAGCTGAAGAAAATCTCAATTTAAGCTGGTGCGCTTGCAAATACAACCTGTGGATTTGTTAGTGGGGATCTCACTGGCTAAAGGGATAAGCTGAACAGCTGTAGCTAAGAAGCTTGAACCTGTGCAGTATCTTTCCAAATAGAGACTCTCAAGGAGGGGGATGGGAAATTGATTGTTCTCTACTTTTCATGGTTTAAAAAAAAAAAGGAAAGGAAAACATGCCAATTGGGACTCCATCCCCAGGCTTCAGTTGTACTTGTTTAAGAGAACCAAAGAGCTTTAGTCATTCCCATTTGAAGAAAGTATTTTTAGGAGTATTTTCAGGGTGCTGTTTCTTCAGTGTGTTCCCCTCTCCATCTCTCTGACCCTTGGAGGTCCTGTCTTCTTTCCTAATTCACACCCAAGCAAAGAAAATTGGCTTTCTTTCTTGTAAAGAAAAGAGGTGTTAAAATATCATTGTCAATTTTGCATGTCTCTGTCTGGCCGCCCAGTCCCATGACCAGTTCCCAATACAAGTAACTCCTAGAAATGAAAACTCCCCTTTAGTGAAGGGTCACTAGCAAAACCTGAAGCTAGTGCTTATAGACATAACGGGAACCAATCAATCATAAAGTATTTATTAAGCACTTGATATGTGCCAAGCCCATGCTGGGGATACAAATACAAGCACTGGGGATAAAAAGAAACAATGCCTGCTCTCAAATAGCTTACATTCTAATGGGGGGAAATTTATGTATAAAGAGAATTAGTATAAAGAGAATAAATATAAATACAAAATAAACACAAGGTAGTTTGGAAGGGAGGGCTCAGTGAGGTAGAAATGCGGAGGAAGTGTGTTCCAGGCAGGGTTGGGGATGTTTAGAAAAGGCAGAGATGAGCAGGGGGGTGGAGGGTGGCCAGTGCTAAAACACAGAGATGGAAGATAGGAGGGTTGTGTCTAAGGAGCAGAGAGAAGGCCAGTTAGGCTTCATTGCAGAGTGTGGGATGAGGAGTAATGCCCATTGAGGCTGAATAGATAGGCTGGGGACAGGTTGTAAAGAGCCAAGAGAGAGCTATGGGGGTTGACAGAGAAGGGGAGGGACCTGGCCAAGGAAATGTGTGCTTAAGGAAATCTGGCAGCACGGTATTGGATGGACTAGTTTGGGGAGAGATCTGAGAAAGAGAAACCATCGGCAATAATCCGGGTTAGCGGTGACAGAGGCCTGTTCTAATACGAACAGCCTCATTGAGCTTGGTGCCCTTAAGTAATGGGAGAAAGAGCATTCGATTGGTAGCCGTGTGACCTAGAGGTCTAACCCCAAGTAACTAGCTGTGTGACTTGGATCTGATTATTTGACATCCCTGAGTCCTAGTCTGTTTTCTCTGTCAAATGAGAGGGCTGGGTTGTATAATCTCTAAGTACCCCTCTGCCTCTCATGTTTTATGAGAAAGTGAAGCAAGGCAACGGGGTTTCTGAAGTGCATGATGTGGGCTAAACATGCGACAACATGGGTAGTGCAGAGAAGACTGGATTTGAAATCAAAACGGTTGAAGTGCTGCTGTTGACCCACACGAGCTGTGTGGCTAGTCATTTCGCTTCTCACTAATGGAACCAAATCCCTAAAATGGTAAATTACTAATGAGTTGTCAGTCCGTGTCAGGAAAAGCAGCGTCTACCCCCAGGAATACCCTTTTATGATGCACAGCTCTGGCCCAAGTCCATGCTCATCCAGTAATACAGAATAGACTCTCTTCCAGGACCTGGTACCAATCACACAGACAGGCGTTAGTAAGTTTCTAAGGTACATCATCTCTCCTGTGCTCTTGTCACCCAGAAAGCAAGGCACTCAATTTTCCTATTTGTTTGGTTTTTCCTTTGTTTGGTTTTTCGAAATGTTGAACAGGTTTTGCAACTCAACTGCTTAAAAAAATAAAAAGCCACAACAGTTCCAAAGCTCATTTCAGAATTGCTGCTCTTTCCAGGTGTATGTGTGTTTATAGCTAAAAACATATTTTATTTTCCCACCTTCCATGGCCCAGATATTCCACCTAATAAGGTATTTCAGTTGGCTCAGGTGGCTTGCTGCTCAAGGCATTATTCAAGTCTGGGAGGGAAAACAGCCAGCAGGTTTGAGAATAGCATATAGGGTTTGCGGAGAGTGAGAGGAGGAGGAGGGGAGATGATCAGGAGGATGATTATGTGATAAATGTGGCTGTGGGATGAGTCATAAGGAATTCTGGGCTAGAAATCCAGAAATCTGGGTTCTAGGCCTTTCTCTGTCATGAATGCTGCAAAAAGAGAGTGAGCTCTAAGGGTTCTGCTAGTCTCAAATGCCTTGCTTTTAGGAACGACTTTACTATTTTATGAATGATTCTATGATTTTATAACCCAAGGTCTTATTTCACCCCATCAATGTTTTTCAGAGACATCAGCAAGAATCAGATCTCAGACATTGCACCAGATGCGTTCCAGGGCTTAAAATCCCTCACCTCGCTGTAAGTGGAGAATACAGTTGCAATGAGAAATGGGAAAGGGATGTTTCCATATTTTTCAGAAGGTGTTTATCATGGCTTTTATGTTCCCCTATGCACTCATGGCAACTTTATAAAGAAACAAATATTTCTTAGGGGGGGAAATTGATCCTGCGAATATTTGTACAACCCAAATGCATTCTTTTTATTGATTAAATGCCCTGCAGATTTTCTAGCTATTTGCTTCTAATTCTAATATATCTCCTACTCTAACATCCGCTCTCTCCCCCTCCCATTCTATGAACTGTAAAATTGCTGCCTCTGGTAGAAAATGTATGGAGATGACTGGACTCTATGTGCACTACTGAGCCTGCTCTTTTTCCCCATTAATTCAGGAGTGGAGGTTTCCCCCATATACCTATATAAAAGAATGTTCGGTTATTACCCCTTAGTTTGAGGCACTCTCTCAGGAACTAAATGCAAGGGGGAATGTGCAGCCTTTTTGTGTTTTTTTAGTAATTTTCTCGTGTGTGTGTGTGTGTGTGTGTGTGTGTGTGTGTGTGTGTGTCCATTTGTGGAATTATCAGACACCCCAGTGGGTAGGACATGCCCACTAGGAGCTTCTGGTGACGATATGGTATAGTGGAAACACCACTGGCTTATAAAGACCAAATGAGATAATGTACTTGAAAGTGCTTTCCAGGGAGAAAACAGGTGTCCGAGGTCTGCTTGTCATCATTATTCATCTCTGGTGGCCTCCATGCTCCATTTTGGGTGATGAGACTCAAACCCTCATGAATTAGACATGCCATCCCCTCACTCACTCACTGTAAAGTTTTTGCCTTGTTATTAGTTGAGTGGATAGTTAATAAATTACAGATTTTTTTTTCCCACCAAGACCCCAGTCCATTGGGAATAGGCTGAGAAGAGGATCAGGAAGGCCTCTGATTCAGCTGCTGCCTGCTGCTTCTCAAGTAAATTAGTTTTGGTTTATCAGATGAAACATCTGTCTGGGATATCAGAGACAGGATTGTGTGTGAGATTAGTGTCTGCTTATTGTATTAAGGATCACAGGGAAAGGGAGAGAGGTCTGCCAGCTGCCAAGTTACTTCTATGCTCTCTCTATTTCACATTCCTCTGGCAGGATCCAGAAACAATCTAGGGACAGTTAGTATGACGTGACCTGCCTGCTACACCCCACTAGGATGCCAGATTAGAATGAAAGCTATTTCATAATCTGGCTCCTCTACCAATAAGGCGTTAGGTACATCTAGACATTGGGTCTAGTTCCCCACTCCGTGTTCATCGGTCTAGGACTCACTCAGACTCCTTGGGGCTGCAAACAATATAAGGTAGTGGTGAGAACATTGGACTTGGAGTCAGAAGGCAAGGTTCAAATCCTAGTTCTGTTACTTAAAATTGTTGTGATGTTGGCTAAATCATTTAACATCTCTGGGCCTCAGTTTCCACAACTACAAAATGAAGCAATTGGACTCAAAAGATATAGAAAGGTCTTCAGAGGTAATTTAGACTAACCCCTTGATGTTATAGTTGAGGATCAGAGCCCATACTCTTCTCACTGTGTCAAAAGTCACTTCCAGCTCTGTCCTGTGATTCACAGAATCTTAAACACAAAAGAGACTCTCAGAGGTTAAAGGAGGTATCTGATTCTAGGTCTTCCTGAGCATCTAACTGGAGACCAAGAAGGCCAAGGGCCTTCTGCAGACAGCTCAGAGTGGTCCAAACTCAGGCACGTAGTATCCAGGCGATACACACAGTGAATCAAGCTTCCAATGTGCTTCATGCTGCTGTGGATTTTGTCCAGCCAGGCTTGGAGAGCAGGTTAGCCTTCCTTGTAATCAGCGTGTTTACTTCTAAAGCTCGAAGCCAACAGGAGTGAGGAGACCGTGAGCAAAGACACTAATGGCATGCCCCTCTCCTCTCCCTTTCATCCTCTCCTCTCCACCCCAAGCAGCTCTCGATTGCTATCCTGGAAGCTTTGACATCAGCTGTGAAATACTGGGCAGACAGTGACATTAGTTCATTTGGCACGGTGAGCAGCAGAACATTAATATGAATTACAAATGTGTGCCTGAGCCATCATGCTGACTTTTATTTAGTCATTAATTTGTTGAAACATTAATGAAACACACCCACAGGCTGAGCAAAAAGCATGGAAATGCTTACTCCTTGCTTCTGGTAGCATTGGGAAATGGGCTGTTTTGTTTCATCATTTCTATTTACCAGTTTTTCCCCCTTGCTCAAAGAGGACTAATGAGAGTCGTGGTCTCCATGGGAATTGGATGTTATGATCAGATTCTCTTTGAAGAAGAGCCTGTGGGGAATGGAGATGGGGGCAGGAGTAGAGAGTGTAAAAGAGGCAACATGGTACCTATGGAAGGAGTGTTTGCCTTTGGAGTCAGAGGACTTGGCTTCAAATCCCGACTCTGCTACTTACTATCCATGTGACTTCAGCAAGCACATCCCCTCACTTCTCTGGGCCTCAGTTTCTTCATCTGTAAAATAAGCACGTTGGACCAGATGATTGCTAAGGTTCCTGTCAAGCTCTGAATCCTGTGAGCCTATAAATCTTCTCTGTCAGCCCTATTCCCTTTGTTGTGCTGGCAAGCGATCCTAAAAGCCAACTGGGCCAAACAAGGAAAGAGAAAGGTCCTTGGACTCAGAGAAAAAGAGAATTGTCCCAAAGGAGCCATGAGTAATCTTCCCCATCCCTCACCTGGTAATTAGGTCCTGCCCTTAGGTTTGGTGGGTTTTCCTATGGAGATCTGGGTCTCCCTGGAGAGAGTTTCCAGAAGTCATCTTCCTAGGTATAGAGTCCGCAGCCAAAGAGGAGTTCTCAGGTATAGGTGAGCATAGGTGTGGGAAAACAGACTATGAAATGAATATTGTGGTGTCCTTCTGTCAGAAGGGCATGACTATACTCTAAGAAAGGACTCTGATCCAATAATACTATTTGTTGGGACCATACCCCAAAGGTGTTTTTAAAAAACAAACAGCTACCTAATCAGTAAATTCCAGAATAGCATTTTTTGGAATTATAAAAAAAATGAAAACAACGTAATTACACCTCCCCCAAATAAAGGAATAATTGAATAAAGTCTGGCACATTCACATAATGGAATTATAGAATGCAATTAAAGCCAAAAAGTATGAGGAATATAAAAAAGTCTGAAAGATCTTTAATAATGCAACAGAGGAAAAAAAGCAGATCCAGAAGAATGGAGTACATACTTAATGCAACCATGTAAGAGGAAAGAATGAATGGACACTGAATCCTAATAGAGACTTAGAAGGAGATACCAAAAAGTTGGAGTCATGAGTTGTTAATTTATTTAAAAGCGGATGAGTGCAGAACACCTTAATTTGTTATATTGGTGTTTAAGATTGTTTCATTATAAATACTTTTTTTAAATGACTCCAGGGTCATTTGGGGCTATTGAACGTTGAATACTGGGCTGAGCAAAGGAATCACTGTTTTCCAACTTGCAAGGTCCACCTTAAGCATAGTCAGAGTAGATAACCACCTCTTTAGTGTGATTTCAGGGGCACAGAGAAGGCCTCTATTCCTCAACAAATATCTTACTACTTACTGATTGATGTCTTACTGTTAAATGTGTCCATTCCTTGGGGAAAGACATTTTCATCAGAAAAAAATAATGTGAAGTCCATTAGAAAAGGTAAGTAGGACATTAAACTATTGCTATCCATTTCTCTCTTGATGTTAATGAATTAATCAGCCCCTTTTCTGAGAGTGAGGAGAGAGAGAGAGAGAGAGAGAGAGAGAGAGAGAGAGAGAGAGAGAGAGAGAGAGAGAGAGAGACAGGAGAGAGAGAGAGACAGAGACAGAGAGAGAGAGCACAACTAAGGAAAGGACGATTTATAAGAACATAAGATTCAAAGCTAGACAGGAACTTAGAGCTCAACTGGTCCAACCCCTTCATTTTACAGATGAAAACACTGGTTAGACGCAGGAAGAGCAGCCTGGTGATGACCCAAAATAAAGTGCCCCTGCTTCCTAGTGGTGAGGCACATATGTGCCCCCCTCTTCCCAGCAGCCATCCTGGTATCTGGATAGAAATGAATGGATTTGGTCCAGAAATTCCTGGGATTTGAAAGGACCTTTAAAAGTAGATTTCTTTAGATTATGTTCGACATAATCAGTATCCAATGAAGATGTAAAAGACATGAAAGATTAAGGCTCTAGGCGATTCATCACGAGTCCAAAGTGTGACTGGCGCTAAGAAACTTAGGAATGTCCCCTGAAGAGTCCTATTTTTCCTTTGGAGGAAGACCAGGAATGTGCACAGGTGGGGGCCCATGACCCCATGGTGTATGGACAGTCTGAAGCATCCCCTCTGTCTTCTTATCTGCTGCCCTGTCTGGTTTCAACTCCATGGAATAAGATGCTTCTCCTACTAAACTCACCACCATGCTGCTGGACATGCTGTGATTGACTCTACTTCCCTTAGCCTCCTCTCTCCTTTGTTTGGAAGGTTGGAGGGTGGAGCACCAAACTCTTCCCAAGGCCTTCCTTTGTAAAGGGCAAAAACTGGACCCTCAGATCACTCCACTTTGTACCTGGTTTCAACTCCGTGGAATAAGATGCACATGCACTGGGTACTCCCTTGTGTCCTGTTCCACCCCACCCTCTCCTGCCTCCTTCTGTGTATTGTCTCCCACTTTTAGACTGTAAACTCATTGAGGGCAGGGACTGTTTTATTATTATTATTATTATTAATTGTATCACCAGTGCTTAGCACAGTTCTTGGCACATCAAAGGAGTGTAATAAATGTTTATTGGATTTATTAGATTGGGTTACGGGTTACCTGGGGAGGTGAAAGTAGGAATGATATTCAAAGTAGAGAGAAAGAAGAAAGGATATTTGGCTAATGGACAGCTCCTGTGTAACAGATTCATTTTGACATGAGGTTCTTGGCTGTGGATCCTAGCATCTCTGTGAAAGCCATATGTCCTGCTGGAGCAAAGTCAGATCAGTGAAGAAATAGAATGCCCTCAGAAGGCAGGCATGGATTACAAGCTCAAACAAAGCAGGAATCCCATAGGGTGGATGGAAGATAACCATGAAGGCAATGATGACTAATGCTCCCTCCCTCTCTCCCTCAGAGTTCTCTATGGAAACAAGATCACCGAGATTGCCAAGGGCTTATTTGATGGACTGGTGTCCCTGCAGTTGCTGTGAGTATGACCTCTATCCTTCTCACTTGGTCATTGCTCTAGGAACAAGACAATTGGTAGACTCAGACTTTGATTTCAGAATAGAACACTTGGCCCTTTACCTAAATTTGTGCCTGAAAGAACAAAGGTGTTTAGTTGTCTATCCCTCCATCCCTAGCACTAATGCTTTTCTTGGGAGAGTACCAGACAGTCAGGAGGTGAAGGGATAAGGTCAGGTGGCTGTCCAAAAAAACCCAAAAAGCCAAGGTACCCCTTATTCTCTTTAATAGGTTTATGAATCCCACAATTGACCCCAGAAATACAGGTTGAAGGTAGAAAATAAAGATCCTTACTCAAACGGGGAAATGTCTTGATGGTAATGATACCAGAGGTTTTAGAATCAGAAAACAGTTACAACACCACATTTTATATTGGAAACTAAGACTGTTCTGAGAGTTTGTGGCACCTTGATGTATGTGTTTGGGAATAGAAATGGGGAGATGAAGAACCATTAATGGGGGGAATGGTCATTAGGTGATGGGGATCAGTCTGTCAGAGATAGCTAGAGAGGAAAATAGTCACTGCATTGAAAAGAAGATTTATTGGATAGAATTTGCAACTGTGTATCATCTATTTGCATTTATCTTGGTCATTGGAGCTAATGCTGTTTGAAGGCAGTAATCGGGATTTTCAGCTAGTTAATGTGGAGAGACAGAAGAAAAGTTGTCATTTTGGTGCATTATAAGATTTTTATCGTCTATTCAGAGTGACTCCTGATTTGTAAATGATTATACAGATGAAATACTTGGCACCATAGCTATAAACTCTACCTATAAAGATAAATATAAACTACATACCATGCACACACACACACACACACACATACACATTCATACATGTTACTTCTCTTCTCAGAATCTTCAGTGGCTCCTTAGTGTTTATTGAATAGAGTTTAGACTCCTTTTTCTGCCTAGCGTTTGAGGGGTCTCCATGACCTAATGGCACCATAACTTCCCAGACGTTTATTTTTCGGGGGGGGTAAGCTGGACTAGTGATTTTATTGGTATAGGGAACTCCTGGAAAGGAAGTGAAAAATAATAATAATAACTTACATAGTGCTTTAGGGCATGCAAAGCGCTTTACATATTATTTCATTTTATCTTCACAACAACCCTGGGAGGCAAGTGCTATTATTTTCTCCATTTTACAGGTAAAGAAACTGAGGCAGACATTAGTTAGGTGACTTGCACCAATCTGCATGACTAGTAGATGCCTGACGCAGGAATAGAAGCAGTTGTTCTGCAGTAGTCTTATAGAATTGCGTAGGAGAGGTCAAGTGACTTATTTGAGAGTGCACAACCAATATGTATCCAAGGTGAAACTTGAATCCAGGTTTTCTGACTCTCAGACCAGATCTCTATGTACTATGTCATGCTGCCTCACTCTTTCAAATGCCTTCTTTCTATACACTCTACTTTCTAGTCACACAGGATAACTCATTGCCCCTTTAGGCCTCTGTGACTTTGCTCAGACCCTTACTCAGACCTGAAACGCTTAAAAATTTTGCCTGTCGCATTCTTACCCGTCCTTTAAAGCCCAATTCACCTATCACCTCTTCAAAGAAGTCTCCTTCCAGCTAGTAACAACCCCCTCCCCAAACACCCCACATAGTTGTCACATCGTGCTGTGCATTATAGCTGCCCAAGTTGGTGGCTCATCTCTTTCTACACTATAAGCTCCCTGAGGAAAAAGGCTGCATGTTATCTAAACTTAGCAAAATGTTCTACATACAGTAAGTATTTAATACATGCAAGTTTACTGTATTTGTTGTAATGGATGATGCACACAGGTGTGTGTGCCTGCCCCCATGCCTACAGACACATATACACAGTCATATTTAGGGATCACTGGTCAGTCGCAGCCCCAGGGGTCAGTTTCCATCTGAACATAGGGATACACATCTATAAATGCACAGAGCTAATATATACAGATAGATGTGTGATCATCACTTTCCCTAACAGCACCTCTGGGAGGTTTCTTTGATCTTTTTCTGCCTCTTTTACAGATGAGGATATGAAGTATAGGATGTTATATTACTATCTCACTGTCACCAATCAAATTAGGGTCACGTTGTCTGAAGTCTCTTATGGTGCAGAGACCTACCCTGGTTCAATAAGCAGGGAGCGTTCAAAGATATGTGTGCTTCAGTGCAGATGGTTTTAAGTTCTATCTGTTACTTACAAAGTTGTGACTCTCCTAGAAGTGAAATGGTCGGCCAGCTCAGACCCAACAGCCAGTAGCTGTAACATGCATAAGTAAGAAAGCTAATTGAAGGATTGTTGCTGGTATCAAAAATAATGACAATTTCCAGGCAAGGAATCTGAGCCAAGGTCTAAAGGACGTTTTTTAAGAAGTAGATTGAAGGAGACAAGGCAAGGGCAAGGGGAAAGATTAGGGAAAGAAGAATCAGACAATCAGATTCAAGGGAATGGTCATTTAAAAGCTTCCTGAGAAAAGCTCCATGGGAAAGATGATATGAAATTTTCCCGTCTACTTTTCACAACTTTTCTTGATGTGTCCATCTTCTGCTCCAGGGGGCAGATCATGAAAACCTAGAGAGAGTTCCAGGAACAGCCCCAGGAAAATTTTATGTTGGCAGCGGGACTCCCGTGAAGCTCCCTCATGACCTGATTTGATGCCACATCTGTCAGAGCAACAATCAAGTCTATTTCTGAGTAGGAAATAAGAAGGAAAATGTTCAAGTCCTGCTCGTCTTTACTTTGCTATACCCCTCCCCCTCAGTGTGCTGTGGGCTCAGCCCCATGGAGCCTTTACAGCTGTTTGTTAGAATGACAGGCAGGGCTCTGTGTGAAGTTGGGTGAATGGCAGATGGTGAGTTTTGCTTGTAGCTGTAAGATAGAACCGCTAACATAAGGCTAGTTAACTGTGGCTATCAATCCCTTGGAAGAAGAGTGACAATATTATCCTGTCTCATGGTGGATTTGGGAATTAGGTAACCCTGTGTGTTGGTGTGGGTGTCGATTTTAAATATGAATGTGTCAGAGTGGGAAGATTAGAGAGGAAAGGGCATAGAAATGTAGAAAAGAGCATAACTAGGAGATCCTTGTGGATCATTTGACTGTAAGGTGGGTAGACATTTGAGGGTCATTCCATTCATTAAGTAATTCATGCTTAATATTGTCATTTGGAGAAGGTAAAATTGAATAGCTCAGTCTCGGGTTAAAATCTCACCAGGGTTTGAAACAATTTGAATTTTCTCCTTTTTCCCATAAGAAGAGGACTCCTGACACTCAAGTAGCAGTCACTGGTTTGGGGGGGGGGGTTTGTTGGGGGTTTTTTGGCCTGCTGTTGAACAGTTCAGAAACAGGTCCTGATTAGATCTAATTTAGCATTCAGTGAGCTTTAGATTGGATTTCTCCTTGTTAGACTGGAGACACAATGCTAAGAGGATTCTTGATTAGAATACCCTGGTGGTCTGGGACATTTCCTCCACTTTAATGGGCAGTTCTTTGGTGGAGTTGATTCTTTTTTCTCACTCTGCCAGAATAAGACAGCTCTGAGACCTTTCCTAGTGGTCTGTGGGACAATGCTGACTGTAGCTAGCTAAGCCTCTTAGGGCAGAGAAGTACAAAGGTGGTGCTATTGTGTTTGCTTATCCCAGTCTCTGGGTTTTCAGGCCATTTCAGTAGTTCCATAGGATTCCCCAGGAGCTAGCTTCTCGGGATGATTTTTTTTTTGGTCATCTTATATTGGGCTGATGCCCAAAGCTGATGATGATGATGATGATGATGATGATGATGATGATGTAATCCCAACACCTTCTGACATTTATCAAATGCTTTAAGATGTGCAAAATATTTTATCACCCACTTACAGTAGAATAGTTCATATTTGTTGTTTGGCTGAACCTTCTGTAGATGCATGATGCATGATGGGCCCTGGCACTCCTGGAAGATGGCCCCTGAGCCCATGACTCACTGTCCTTCAGGGAATGATAGTCTCCATTGTGTTTCCTCATGCAAGACAAATCTTAAAGTCCTTTCTTGGAATTCTCAATCGTGGAGTTGAATGGTTCTTGAAAAATTCAATCTGTTCAAAGAATCTGTGGATAAATTTCTTGGGGTACTTGAAATTGGATGGAAAAAAAGTCTACATCTTTATTTGAATGTCACTGATTGCCTTTGTAATCTTATGTGTTTTATTTTATGTATTTAAAAACAGGATTCTGAGAAAGGATCCTTAGGCTTCACCAGACTACCGAAGGGATCATGACACAAAAAAAGACTCCTGATCTAGTTCAGCTATTTATAGAGTTGAAGAACCTCTTCCACGGCTTCCCTTGGTTAATAATTATTGAGCCTCTGTTTAAAGCCTTCCAGTGACGGGGCTCATTTCCTCACGAGGCAGCCTGTTCCAGTGTCAGACAGCTCCAAGTATTTTTTAATCTTTTTTATATTGAGTGGTCTGATTCTTTGTAACTTCCATCCCTTGGTCCCGCTCCTCTTCTGTATAACAGCGTATCAGGAATTTGAAGACAGGTAGCATGTCTCCCCTTTGCCTTCTCATTACCAGCTTCTCCAACTATTCTTCAAATAAGTTGTTTTCTTACCATTCTGATTATCTTCCTCTAAAGCAGCGATTAGCAAAATGTGGTGTGGAAACTCCTAGGGGAACCTGAGACCCTCTCATGGAATTCACAAGGTCAAAACTATTTTCATAATAACACTAAGAAGTTTTAATTTCAAATATGGTAAATACCAATAGATATAACCCACATAACCAAAAGTTCTTTGGGGTCCTTAATGAGAGTATAAATGGTTCCAGAGATCAAAAGACTCGAGAACTACTGCTCCAAAGGCTCTCTAGCTTTTTACCTTCTTGAACTAAAATGCTCAGAATTGAGGATGGTACTCCAGGTAGCAGTAGAGAAGAAATATGGTGAGAAGGTCTCTTCCACAACAGTGGGATCTTTTGTATCTCCCAGGAAAAAGCTGGTAGAC